TGCAGAGCCGGAAGAAAACCCTGAGTATCACCAGGTGTGGCCCCAAAACAAATAAAGAAAAAGATAATTCCAAAGTAGTCATTTTCCCTTATGATTTATGCCTTCTTTGTGAGGAGGATCCTCCTTAGCAAAGACCCTGTACCTCATGCAGAACTGGAAGGTTCTACTTTCGTCCAAAGGTTGCCAAGTTCTCCCGCAGCCAGGGCTGAGTATCTGGAAGTCACTGTGATGCACGGAGAGAAATCCAACTTTTCCATCTGGAGAAGAAGCATCTCAGGCCCTCTCCTGAGAAACCATCTGCTTCCTCCGCCTCATGTCGAGTTCCTGTGCAGACTATGGCTGGGCTTCCCCCCCCCATCCCTCTGCTTCTCCCCACTCCTGTCAGCACCCCATTTGAATGACCTGCTCTTAGATGATGTCTTCATCTCGGCTTGGGTGTCTCTTGCCTTGATCCTTTTCTTCCAAATTCTGGGCTTACTTCAGCCTGGACAGTTCCATATAAATTTTAGAATCAGTTTGTCAAATTCCAGCCCGGACCCTGACCACTCCGACCCCACTCCAAACTTTGGATAAAAATATAGATTGAGGGGCTGGAGCAATAGCACAGCACGGCCAACCTGGGTTCGATTCCCAGCATGCCATATGGTCCCCGGAGCACCACCAGGAGTAATTCCTGAGTGAAGAGCCAGGAGTAACCCCTGAGAATTTCCAGGTGTGACCCCAAAAGCAAAAAAAAATGTATATAGATTGATTTTGGAAGCAGTGATATCTTCAGAATATGCCATTGCCCCTCCATGAATATGGGTGACCTCTCAAGGTATTCTCTGGTGTCCTTTGATTTGGTTTTGAAATATTTACCCTTCAGTCTGCTTTACAAATATGGGTAATTCTTTGCGGTGATGCTCTCTCTCTCTCTCTCTCTCTCGTTCTCTTAAGCACCCAGGACCCTCACCCCTGGTACTTCTCAGCCAGCCAGACCAGTGGTTCAATGCTAGGGCCTAATGTCTAATGCTGTGAGTTGTTCAGGCCCTGCAGAGATGATCCAGGGCTGTACTTGGTGATGCTCAGGGAACTATGAGGTTCTGAGGACTGAACTAGACTCAGCTGCATGGCTTGCACGCACCCTAATCACTGGTCTATCTTTCTGGCCCCTGACAGTTCTAAATACTGGTCCCCATCCCTCAACCCAGGGGCACACAATGTCATTTATGTTTATTCCAGTGTGGTTGGCATTGACAATGTAGTTAAAGTGGTGCCAGCTTCACAGACTCAAAAATACCCGCATACCCACGTGGAATTTACAAGGCAGGCCGACTTAGAGAAAGTTGAGCCCTGTGAATGCGAATGCCTCCTACCTGTTTAAATGCTTGTCAACCTGCTTCCCCCTCCCATCATTAGTTCCTACTTATGTTTCTAATGGTAAAATATACATGGCAAAGCTTATGATTTGAAGCTTTTAATTAATTAACGAATTCTGGTATGTGACCACACCTGGTAGTGCTCAGGGCTTACTCCTAATTCTGTGCTCAGGGATCACACCTGGCAGGGCTCAGGGCCCATATTCAGTGTTGGGGAACAAACCTGAGTTGGCTGCTGGCACTGCAAGCACCCTGCTTGCTGTACTATCACTCCGGCCTCATTTGCAGCTTGTTAAAGGATTACGTTCTGGGGCCGGTATGGAGGAGAGTGTTTGCCTTGCACAAGGCTGACCTCAATTCAATCTTTGGCATCCTAGGTCCCTTGAAGTGACCCATCTGACCATCATGGCATCTGTTCAAATTAGCTCCTCAACTGTTTCCACATGTTCTTGGTTTTGTTTAAGGGCTTTTTTGGAGGGTGGGGTATGGAGGAGGGTCTCTGAACAGTGCTCAGGACTCCTGGGGGCCCCCAGAGGTGCTGTACCCCGGCGGGTTCATGCAAGGGCCAGCAGATGCAGTACCACTCGGGCATGATGCTGCGGTTAGCATCAGTCGGGATGGCCCTTCCGTGCTTGAAGGGGTTTCCAAAGGGCTGCACCCCTCAAGGCTTGGGCCATCACATAGTATGGAGATAGAACCAGGGTCAGCCACGTGCAAGGCAGATTTCATAAGCCCGATACTCTGGCCTTTTGGGGCAAGACTTTCCACATTCACCCTGGACTTGGCTGACCCTAGTTCTGGGATCAGTTAAAAGTCCGCTGAACCCTGGGGAAGGTGTTTGCCACACATGTGGCCCACCCAGGTTCCATCCCCGCACCCCATGTAGTCCCTCAAGCTCTCCAGGGCTGATCCCCTGAGCACAGAGCCAGGAGTAAGCCCTGAGTACCGCCGGATGTTGCCCTCCAAATAAAAACAAACGAATAAAAAAGCAGTATCTGTATTCGCGATCCGGCAATGCACAGGGTTTACTCCTGGCTCTGCACTCAGGAATTACTTCTGGCGGCGCTCAAGGGACCCTATGGGATGCTGGGAATCGAACCCAGGTCGGTCGCATGCAAGACAAACGTCCTACCTGCTGTGCTATCGCTTCAGCCCCTGTATTCCAAAGAATTTTAATGGGGCTAAAGAGTGGAGCCCCCAGCTGGTGGCCATGCCTGGGTGTATTGCAACCACCAGGGACAGAGTACCCAGGAAATGTTCATAACCTGGCATCTCTGGGCTGGGCGGGTGGTCTGATAGACCCCAGACCCAGATGGGTGTTCAGAGGCCTCTTTACCAAAAAGGGGGACACAGGCTTCCCACGTCCCCAAGTGCACCAACACCTTAGTCCTCGCCGGTCTGTCTCACTAGCATGTGGTCACCCCATTGTCCCCCTCCCCCCAAGGGCTACAGGACAGAGGAGGGATACTGGAAGTCAGGGGCAGCCTTCATGGGGCCTTCAGCCCTCCTCCTCTTCTTCCTGGCAACCCCCACGAACACAGCTGTGGCTGTGTGGGCTCAGAGAGAATCTTGCCAGGTGTGAGGGTGGGCCTGTAGGAGGCCCTCCCAGGTTGCATTTGGCATCAGGCAGCCCCCCAGGATTGAGGGACCACAGCTGCCTTCCTGCCTCTGGCCTGGTGGGCAAGGAATCTGGAGGGAAGGCACCCCTGACCTCTGAACTCTGACCTGTTTTTCTGCTGTCTTCTTCCACCCACCCCATCCATCATTCACGCTGAGTTGCTCTGCGGAAGTTCATGGGGTCATCCTCCAGGGCCTTTATTTTCCACAATGGTCAAAACAAGACCAAAAAAAGCACCAAGAGAAAGTGTTGAAGCCATTTGAATGTGTGACCCAATTTTTGGGGGGGCGTAGCAGTATCAGGGTTCAAACCCAGAGCCTCACGCATGGGGGACATAAACTTGACCACTGAGTCGCACCCTCCCCACCACCTATGGCCCAATTTCTTTTAAGATTTATTATGTTTAGGGACTGGAGTGATAGCACAGCGGGTAGGGCGTTTGCCTTGCACGCAGCCAACATGACCGACACAGGTTCGATTCCCAGCACCCCATATGGTCCCCTGAGCACCACCAGGAGCAATTCCTGAGTGCATGAGCCAGGAGTAACCCCTGAGCATCATCGGGTGTGACCCAAAAAGCAAAAAAAAAAAAAAAAAGATTTATTATGTTTAAAATTGAATCCCAGTGAGGTACTGTTACAAAGTTGCTTCTGATTGGGCTTCAGTCATAGCATGTTCCAACACCTGTCCCTTCACCAGTGTGTTTCCCACCACCAATGTCCCCAGTTTCCCTCCCTGCCCCCTACCTCAAAGGCACTATGGCAGGTACTTTCTCTCTCTCTCTCTCTCTCTGTCTCTCTCTCTCTCTGTCTCTCTCTCTCTCTCTCCTTTTGGGCATTTGCAATACAGATACTAGGGTATCATGTATATTCCTTTATCCACTTTCAATGCTCAGTTCTTGTCCAGAGTGATATTATTGTCATATTGGTCCCTTCTCTATTCGAACTGCCCTATGCCTATGGCCCAATTAAGTTTTGGGGGTGGGTGGAGAGACCCACTGGATGATGCTCAGGGCTTACTCCTGGCTCTGTGCTCACGGGACTCTACAGGGTGCTAGGGAATTAAACCCAGGTTGGCCATGTGTGAGGCAAGCGCCCAGCCTGCTGTGCTATTGCTCAGCTCCCCGCCTTTTTTTTTTTCTTTTTGGGTAGAACCCGGTGATGTACAGGGGTTACTCCTGGCTGTGCTCAGGGGACCATATTGGGTGCCGGGAATTGAACCTGGATTGGCCATGTGCAAAGCAAATGCCCTACTGTGCTATCGCTCCAGTCCTGCTCAGGCCCCTTTTGCGAGCAGGTGTTGACTCCTGCCCAGCAATGAGATGCATTGACACCGCAATGGCTGGTTTCCCAAGGCCTGGCACAGGTGGTCACTCGTCCATCATATCCTGCTGTCTCGGGGGCCGCCCATCTCCAGCCAGAGCTGCCTGCGTTGTGCCAGTCTTGGGACCTCCCCCGGTCCCCGCCACATAGTCACGCCACAGCCGCAACGCATCTCCTCTCCACAGTGACCCCCCTCTCCATCCCCTAAGCTGCCAGCGCCCCGCCGGACACCCCAGCAGCAGAACGTCCCCCCAGACCCGCCCGAGGCCCTTGGCTCCAAGTTGCCTCCACAGAGCGGGAGCCTTTTCTGCTCCCCATCAAATCGGGCCCCCTCGGCTCTTCCCATTGGGGTCCCCCCTTCCTTGTGCCACCAGGGTAGCTTTCTGCTCCTTTACTGCAGGCCAGGCCAGCAAAGTGGGACCACATGAGGGTGGGTGCCCCTCCCTCGACCCAGGCGGGCCCACTTCTGCAGCCTTTGTCCCAATGCAGATCACTTGGGGAGAGGCTGTGGCCCCAATAACCTCCAGCTGAGGCCGAGGCTGCAGCCTCCGCTGGTTTGCAGCCCACCTTCGCGCCCCAGCCCCCCGCCACTGCTGGGATTGGCCGAGAAAGGAAGACAGGTGGAAGCAGGGGGCTGGCTGGGCTATAAGACTGGGTCGGGGCAGCCCAGGAGCTGCCTGGAGCGACTCCGCGGATGCCACCATGGAACTGAGCTTTGAATTCTTCGTGCCCTTTCTGCTCTGGGGTGGCGCGGGGCTGTGGTCCCCGCAGCTTGTCTGGGGGGGTCCGGTAGGCCGCGCCTTGCTGGGGGCTCACCCTGTGGAGGTGAGCTGTCAGGAGTCCCAGCTGGCGATCACTGTCAGCAGGGACCTCTTTGGCACTGGGAAACTCATCAGGCCCCAGGACATCACTCTGGGCCCGGGGCTCTGCCGGCCGGCGCTGGCCCTGGAGGAGGAGATCAGGTTTGAGGTCGGCCTCCACGAGTGCGGGAACAAGTTGCAGGTGAGGCTGGTGCTCCCCCCCACAAAGCTGGGCTTTTGGGAGCCTTGGGTACCTGGGGGGAAGGAGCTCCCACCTTGAGATCATGACCCTTGTTTCTATGAGGTGGATTGTGGGGGCCCGGGTACAGCACTCTGGGGGCCAGGCCTCTGTTTCGGGGAGCTCACAAGCCCCAGGGAGTTCGGGGGGCTGTTGTGCGTGAAGACGAGCTATGCTCCAGCATCCTGGTCAGGAGTCTCCAAAGAATCGCCAGAGAAAAATGCCTTGGATTTGGGGACCCCCCCCTCATTTAATGATGGGGAGCCTTGAGCTGAAAGTGGGGTATGGATGCAAGCTCAACCTCCAAGTGATGAGCCAGAAGACCAAACTGGGGCCCAGGTGGAAGGGGGTTACATAAGGGTGGGCTTGGGCCCCCCAAATCCCCCAGCCCCTCCTGCAGGGGACAATAGAGGAGGCCCCCTTTCAGCCAAGCTGGGCCCAGACGGGATCTCCTTGACCCCCTAGACCCCTTCTGCACAGCCTGTCTCCCCCAGGGTGCCCCCCGACCTTGCACCTGGCCTCCTGCCCCCAAACTTGGTATCCTAGCAGCTGGGCTGGGGGCCAGCAGGAGATCCTGGTCCCCAGGTCTGGGCTCTTATTTTCCCCGGGGAGTGTGGCAGGAGTCACTTGGCTGATGTTCCTGCTCAGCTGAGGGGTTGGGTAGGGATGGACATACCCCTCCCCCCACTGCGGCCAAGCTGTCACCCCATCCCAGCGGCCTCACCTAGAGCACATCCAGCCCCAATAAAGAACTAACCACCCTGAGTGGCCATGAGTTTCCAGCGCTTTCCAGCCCTAAGGCTTCCACTGAGAGGGGTGAAGGCAGGATGGGCAGCTGTGTGCGGGCTCTGGGGGGCTACCGTCAGGAGCTGAGGGGTGGGGTACAGTGAGCTGCCAGCCCTCTGTACTCTGCTCTCCACATCTCTGCGCTCTGCTGGGGGTCCGGCTGGCAGAACAGGTGAGGCTGGGGCTCTGACAGTCCCTTCCGGCAGGTGACGCCGGACGCCCTAGTGTACAGAACCTTTCTGCTCCACATCCCTCGGCCTTCGGGCAACCTGTCCATCCTCAGGACCAGCCCAGCGCGGATCCCGCTCGAGTGCCGCTACCCCAGGTCTGTACTTCCCCACCTTCAGCGTGGGCCGGGTGAGCTGGGGAGTTGGGGGGGGGGGGCTGCGGTGTGAGTTCAGGGCCAAGAGCTGCAAGAGTGGTGCTAAGAACTGCAGGCTCCACCCAAGTTCTGACCTGACTACGTCTCTCGTGAGCGCTTACCTGCACGTGGGGGGCGGCAGAGGCGCTCTCTCCAGCAGGAACCCCTAAGGCACAGGTAAATGGATGAGGTGACCCAGTTGGTACCCACCCGCGGAGCTGGGAGAGAACGCAGGAGGCAGGGAGCCACAGCCTGAGCGGTACAGGGCGCCCTCTGGAGGCCTCTAGGAGAAGCGCAGGGAGTTGGCCTAGTTCGGGCGTGGTGGTGGTCCCAGCAGGGTGCCTGACCTGTGCCCCAGCCCACCTGCCTGTGGGTTCGGTGAGCCTGGGCGCCTGCTCCAGACTCCGGAGACTTAATGACTGTGACTGAGCCCCAGTGGTCTGTTTTCAGTGGGGGGTCCTGAGCGCATAGTGGCCCCCCCCGAAATGTCAATCCCGGTACCAGCTGCGATCTTAAGTGCAGGGGTGGGGCACCCTGATACCTGGGGAGCCTTTGGGATACGCCCCTCGCCAGGGACGAGCCTTCATCCCACACCTGAGCCTCCAGGATCTTTGGCTAAGAAGCAGATCAGGGCTTGTACCTCAGGTGAAGCTCGTGTGATGGCGTGGGGCGGGGACCCCGTCACTAAGTCTCATTATGGGGCAGGGCAAAGGACAGGCCAGGACTTCAGGGGCCAGCGGCGCAGCCGTGGCTGGGTGTGGAAGCTGGTTCTCCTCCCCCAGGCATGGCAACGTGAGCAGCCGGGCCATCCTGCCCACGTGGGTACCCTTCCATACCACAGTGTCCTCCTCGGAGAAGCTGGTCTTCTCACTGCATCTGATGGAAGGTGGGGAATGTGACTTGTGGGGGGCGGGCAGGAGGGGTCCAGGGGCAGGCGGGCGCCGGCATCTCACTCCAGCCCACCCTTGCAGACGACTGGAGCGGTGAGAAGCAGATGCCCACCTTCCAGCTGGGGGACAGAGCCCACCTCGAGGCCCGAGTCCACGCTGGCAGCCATGTGCCACTGCGGCTATTTGTGGACTCCTGCGTGGCTACGCCCACGGCTGACCAGCACGCCTCCCCATCCCACACCATCGTGGACTTACACGGGTGAGAGCTGGGCCACCTGCCTGGGGTGGGGGCCTCCTGCCCTTCTCCAGGTCCCAGGCCCTGAACTCTGTTCTCTCTCTTCCCAGCTGTCTCGTGGACGGTCTCTCAGATGCCTCTTCGGCCTTCCACACCCCCAGACCTGCACCGGAGAGGCTCCGTTTCTCCGTGGATGTGTTCTACTTTGCTAACGACTCCAGGAACACGGTAAGAATTTGACCTCGTGGCCCGGAAGCAGTCTGAGGTCAGCCAGACCATCTGCTTGGAGCCTTCATTGACTGTCCATCGTCTGCCCCGCCCCTCCCAGTCATCCCCAGGACCTCTGATCCAGTCCAAGAAAATCGAGGGTCTGGGGGAATCTTCAAGGAGAAAGATCTTAAGATGAATAGAAAGCCCAGAGGAGGGGTGCAGGAGTTGGGGCGCGTGGGGAGTTTGGGATCCAGGGTTTGGTGGCACCAATGACCTCGGCCTTGCCAGAATCATCAGGCCCAGAACAGCTGAGGCGCAGTTCACCACCAGTAGGCATAGTTCTATCCTGCAGGCTCCTTCTTGGACCGGTCCCTGCAGGGCATGGGGGGACCAGGTGGTGCTGGGTTCAATCCCCGGCACCCCATAGGGTCCACGAGCATCTCCAGAAGTAACCCCTGAACATCGCCAGGTATGACCCAAAAGGCAAACAGAATTGTCAGGCTTTGATGCAAGCCCCTAGAGATTGGAGTGGGGGGTGAAGTTAGGGAGGTTGGGGAGCAGGGCCTCCTCCGGGGTCTGCCTGGCAGGAAAGGTCACACCCCTGGTCCTCCTCCTCCTCATTCTCCATCTTGGAGGGGCGGGGCTTCTCTCCTGCGGAAGCCGGTTTCCAGCGTCTTGGAGAATCTGAGGGAACAGCCTTTGAAAGCAAACACCCCTGGTCTTGCCATCTGGGTCCCACAGTCCACACGTCACTGTCTTTATCTGCTCACTCATCTGCTAGTCTAATGTGCAGGAAAAGGCTTCCAAAGCCACGTACACACCCAGGTAACCTTAGCAACCAGGATCACAGGCCTGCGGCAGTGAGTAGACTGAGGTGATGGGGGATCCCAGGCTCCCCTGGCAACCATTCCAAACATGGGTGTTGGATGCTACAGGAGAGGTGCTAACAGCAGATCTGAGAGGCAGGGGAGGAGTGGGGGCATCGCCTGGCTCCATCCAGCACCTTTCCAAGACCTGGAGGGGGTCCTGGTCTCACGCCCGGAGGGCAGGTCTCTATGTTGGCACTGAGTCAGAGGTGTAAACAACAGGGTTTTTCTTTGGGGTTTTTATTTTTTTGTGTGTGTGGTTGTTCTTGGCCACACCAGGCTTCCCTCTGGTTCCTGGAGTGATCTCGGAGCATCACCAACTGCGGCCCCCAAACCAAACAACCCTCCAAAATGGGGCTCACTGTCCCCTCTCCAGTCTCAATGGAGGGTGTTGGAACAGCTGTACCCCCAGCCCAGACCCCCACCTTCGCTGTCCTCTCCAGGTTTACATCACCTGCCACCTGAAGGTTGCCCCCGTGGACCACGGCCCCAATGCACAGCACAAGGCCTGTTCCTTCAATAAAGCCTCTGGCAGGTGAGACCAACAGACGGACAGATGGACCCAGGGGAGGGCAAAAGCGCTTCCACAGCCCCCAACTCTGGCCCTTCCCTGTAGCTGGTACCCAGTAGAAGGTACCGAGGACATCTGTGACTGCTGCTCTGCGGGGGACTGTGGGATCCCAGAGACCCCCAAGAATGTGTCCCAGTGGCTCCCCGTGAATGTGTCCCAGTCGACATGGCAGCGAGATTGGGGAGAGCATAATCCTCGTGCCCGCAGACACGGTGAGTCTAGCAAGTCAGTCCCTGCACCCCAAGGGGCCTGCCTGTCCTCATACTCCCACTCCTAGGGGAAAGGCCTTTGGGGGCTGCTCCTGGTTGGGGGGTAGGGGGGCCACACTCGAGATCAAATTGGGGTTTCTATGGGCAGAACTTGTGCCCAGTCCTCTGCATCCTCTCTGTCCTCCCAGGTTTTTTTTGTTGGGGTGTGGGGGGAGGGGTGAGACTCAGGCCTCAGACATGAGGGCAAACGCCCCACTGCTGAGCCACATGCTGGCCCTCCATAGAAATCTCGAGACCAGACCGGGCAGTACTGGGGGGGAAGGCACTGGTCTTGCACGTGGCCAACCCAGGTTTGATCCCTAACACCCCGTAGGGTCCCCTGACCCCCACCAGGAGTGATCCTGAGCACAGAGCAGGAGTAAGCCCTGCGCACCGCTGGGTGTGGCCCCCAAACAAATCTTGGGGCTAAGGAGGAATTCCTTCTCCCATACACCCCCCCCAAGTATAATCCTGGGGTTGTACTGACCGGTAGGGGTCAGTCAGGGGGAGTGGATGCACCCCAGCTCAGGACTCAGGACCCGCGTGTCTTCCAGTGACCGAAGAGGCTGACGTCACCGTGGGACCCCTCATCTTCCTGGGCAAGGCTGGGGACCGCGGTGTGGAGGACCTGGCCCTGCAGGGCCCTCTGGCGTTGGCCCTGGGCCTGGCCGCCGTGGCCTCTGTCAGTCTGGCTGTTGTTGTCCTGAGTCTCGCCAGAAGGACCCGGCCCACTCTGCCCGCTGTGATGTGTCCCGACTCTGCTCTCTAATAAAAAAAAGGAGAATGTGACCTCTGAGTAGACTGCAGTGACTGGGGAGGGGCCCCCGGAGCTGATGGGGTGTCCTCAGGAGTCGGGTAGAAATGCAGGAGGAGCCTGAATGTCAGTGCGGACCAGGCTCCCCATGGGGGACGGCCAGCCCCATCCCAGGCCCACTTCCAGCTGAGCAGAGGTCAGTCTGGTGCGGGGGAAAGAACTTCTGGTCTTGTCCCGGAGGCCAGTCGGCCCAGGATCTGGTCTTGGGCAGAAGCCGATGGAGGGGCAAGGTGGTGGGCTGTGCCGAGTGGTCACCTGGAGGTGCCCTTCAGGCTGTGTGTCCCTGGGCCCCTTACCCTCAGTCCACTCTGCTGTGTAAGCCGTGTGTGTCCCCAAAGGAACTGGGCCTGGGGGTTCCCAGGGAGGTGTCCTGCTTCGCCCTTAAGTGGGGGAGGTGAGCTGGGCCTGAGTGCTCCCATCCTCAAAGCCCACCAGCCCCTCCCCACCCCTCCTCCCCCTCCCTCCTCTCTTTTCTCTTTATCTCCCTCCATCCCCTCTTTTCCCTCCTCCTCTCCTTACCCCCTTTTTTAAATTTTTTTTTTCTTTTTGGGTCACACCCGGCAATTCACAGGGGTTCCTCCTGGCTCTTCACTTAGGAATCACTCCTGGTGGTGCTCGGGGGACCATATGGGATGCTGGGAATCGAACCTGGGTTGGCCGCGGGCAAGGCAAACGCCCTACCTGCTGTGCTATTGCTCCAGCCCCTCCTTACCCCCTTTCTTTGGGGGTACTCTGTAAACTCAAAGACAGCAGCGGCTCTATCTCTCCCACTGCCTGCGTTAGGTAGTCTCTAGCCGCTTCCCCCACCCTGGGGAAGTCGATGGGGATGGGCAGGCAGGGAAGGAAATGAGGGCCAGGCTGGTTGGTGTCCGTTGCAGTTTATTCCATTCCCATCTCCATTCTCCTGATTCTACTCCTGCTTCTTCCTCCCCCATGCTACTTCATTCTCCTTCTGGCTCTGGAATCTGAATCTGGATCCTCCTTTCTCCTCCTTCTGGAGTCTGGATCCTGATTCCCCCCGCCCTCTCTTACAGTCTAGTTATATCCCAAAGCATGAGGGGTTGGGGCTTACACATAGGTGTGGTCACAATCAATAGGGGTAAAGTTCTTTCCCTCAGGGAGTACTTCCTCTAGGACAGATACCCTCTCAGCAGGACGACCCACCCAAGAGCTGAATCCCATGGATGTGTTTCTCCTCTCCTTGTCCAACAAACATAAGCATTCATAATATAAATCATTTTTAATATAAATCATTCCTGAGCATAGAGCTAGGAGTAAGCCCTGAGTACTGTAGGATAACAGGAATAATATAAATCATACAGTAAGAAATACCTTAAGTTTATAGAATTGCTCTCCTAGGGCCATCTCGATCTCAGACTACAGTGCTCAGGCCAGATAGTCTTTCCTATCCCTAGCAGGGTCCTAGTCTCATTATTTTTGGATTATGACAGCATTTGTCTATGATCAAGCTCTTAAAGTTAAGAATTGTGGCACTTTGGCCTGGCCCATTTCGATGCCAGGGTAGCTCACAGCTTGCCCTGCATCCATTCAGTCCCTTGTTGGGACCCTGCTTTTGGGGTGTTAGGAACTAAGGGCAACTGAGGCTTAAGTCGAGAAAGCAGATGCCTGGAAGTGAATAATATTCAAAGCTAATTACATCCTAAGTTACAAAGCATAATATTAACTGTCTTTCTGTATCTATACAAAAAGGACATTGCGTTAAACTATTCAAAAGACATAAGGAGAGGAGAAAGGCAATATTAACTTACAATACAATTTCAGTGTCCTAGAAGGATCTGACCTTACAAATTAAGAGTCTAATTAGGGGGAAAAGCTGATTAACTGGTTGGGGAAGAGCGCATAGAGAAGTGGTTACAGATAAACAAAGGAATGGGAGTGACTCAGGAGCACTGTGATGGGTGTAACCTGATAAACCTAAGCTCCTTGTGGCAAGGGAGAAAGGACAAAGCAATGTTATCCTACAGTACTCAGGGCTTACTCCTAGCTCTATGCTCAGGGATCCCTCCTGGTGGGCTCAGGGAACCATTTGTGGTGTCAGGGACTGAACCGGGTGGGCCCAATGCAAGGCAAAGCCCCTTCCCTACTGTTCTATGGCTCCAGCCTTCCCCCGCAGCCATCACTGTAGCCCCTTCTAACCTGTTACTAGATCAAGTGTGGCAGGGCTCCTCTGGGACCTGGATGGACCTGGCCCAGAGTGGGCAGGGCAAGGCTGGACATCCAAGTGCCTACAGAGCTGGGTTTGGTTCTGCGTGTAAGGACTGGAAGCCTGGACCCAGCTCTTGGCCCTTCCAAGGATGATTTGAGCATCAGCCTCACTGGAGACCCCTGGGAGAGGCCACTGGGGGTAGGGGAGAGGGTTTCAGACCTCAGTCTCTAGCCAAGTCCCAAATCCCCACATGGGTGACTGTGTGGAGAGAAGTCTACAGGTAGGAGGGGTGGGTTTCCTGATGGCGATGAGCCTAGAGCAGGAGGGATGGGCTTCCTGGTGGTGGTGATCTCAAAGCAAATTCACAAAACTAGAAAGTCCAGACTATGGAGGTGGATGTGGAGGAGAGAAAGGGGAGAGCCCATGCCCTGGGGAAATGGGGTCTCCGTGTCCAGAAAGGGGGGTGCTGGGTGCCACAACAGGCCTGCCCAGGAGCGGGCAGGGTCCCCTTGCCTGGAGACATTTCTGGAATGGTGTGAGGGGGCAGGGTGCCCACTCGGGCCCCAGCACCCTGTCTCGGTGGGGGCCTTACTCCTGGACTCCCAACCCCTATGCTTTCAGGTGCACCTTGGGGCCCAGCCCAGGCTGCTTCCAGGCCCCAGAGGGGGGGCGGGTGCTGGGAGCCTTTGTGGCCTCTAGTGCCGTCCTCCCCTCACCAGTGTTCTGGGCTCTTGCGACATCCTGGGAACTCACTGTCCTCTAGCTTCTGCTTGCTCAGCTCAGGAAGTGGCCATGCCTGTGTGGGGAGGAAGTGTGAGCGGGGGGGCAGCCCCAGCAGCCACTGCAGGCGCATCTGGGCTCTGATGCAGCTGGGGCAGGAAAGGCAGCCTCCTCCAGGAAGCCCTCCAGGAGGGTCCCTGCCTTCCTTTCCCATGAGGGAGCCAGAGAGGACAGGCAGCCGGGGGGCCTCCAACCTGGTGTTTACCAACTTTTTTTGGACGGATCGTGCTCTCTGCTGACCATATTTCCTTCCTATGCCTCCCACCCCTGTCCAGCTGATTGACCTCCTAGTCCTAGGTCGTAACCCCTCATTGAGGAAATTTTCATCTTGGAGTACACAGGGGGCCCCAGTGGAGAAGCGCTGCCCTTCCCTTAAGGCTGCTGTTCCCGGTGTTGGGGGCATCAGAGACTCCAGGTGAATCTGCTCTAGGCGGGTGTTTAAAATGTTGCCTTAGAGGGCCAGATAGTACAGTGGGGAGGGCATTTGCCTTGCATGCGGCCGACCCGGGTTTGATCCCCGGCACCCCATTGGGTCCCCTGAGCACCGCCAGGAGTGATTTCTGAGTGCAGAGCCAGGAATAAACCCTGAGAACCACCAGGTGTGACCCCAAAAGCCAAAAATAAAATAAAAATTAAGTGTTGCTTTAGTGGGCCTGAGAGATGGGACAACAACTAGGAATCTTGCCTGGCATGGGGCTGGCCTCGGATGGATGCCACTGGGTCCCCTGAGCCCTGCCAACAGTTGGGGTGTGGCCCCAACACAAACACATAACCTTGGTGAGGATAGAGACAGACAGGCAAGAGCTGAGGTACTTGCCTCTCATGTAGCCAACCCGGTTAGGTCCCAGCACGGCATATGTACCCCGAGCACTGCCAGGAGTGATCTTCAAGCAGCGTCCAGTGTGCGCCGAAAACAAAAACTGCCTTTGTGTCTCTGTCCTGGCAGCTGGAGAGGGGAGAGGCAAGTTAGAGAACCACGGGTGGGGAGCTGGAGCAATAGCACAGTGGGTAGGGCGTTTGTCTTGCATGCGGTTCAATTCCCAGCATCCCATATGGTCCCCAGCACCAGCACCGCCAGGAGTAATTTCTGAGTGTGTGAGCCAGGAGTAACCGCTGTGCAACGCCGGGTGTGACCTAAAAAAAAAAAAAGAACCACGGGGGAAGGGGTGCGTAGCAAACCCCGACAGGCTGCCAGGGCACCAGCAAGTATGCCTTTCCCCAACTCCCAGGAGAGTCTCATTCAAATAAGGACTAAAAATTCTCTTATTTCAAGGGCAAAAAAAGAACCACTGAAAAAAATAAAACCATGACTACACAAACAACTAAGTCTAAGTAAGGTCTTGTTTGGTAAGATGAAGAAAACTGATTTAGAGGAGTATATAAATATATATATATATATTGAGGAGAGGGTACCACACCTGGCAGAGGTCATCAGGGGCTGTTCCGGGCTCTGTGTTCCTGGTGGTGTTGGGGGATCATATGCCGTGCCAGCAATAGAGTCAGGTTGGCTGCATGCAAGTTACAGTACTATGTCCCCATCCCTTTACTTTTTTACTTAATTTTTTTGGTTTGGGGTCACACTTGGTGATGCTCAGGGGTCATGCCTGGTTCTGCACTCAGGAATCACTCCTGCTGGTGACGCTCATGGGACCCCGTGGGATGCCAGGGATCGAACTCATTTTGGCTGCCTGCAGGGCAACACCTTACCCGCTGTACTATTGTTCCAGCCCTTTATTTGGGCTCAAACCCCACACTTGTGCTAGGTCCTGCTTGGTGATGAGGTTGGGGGGGCGTTGCAGACCATGACGTGTCTGCCAGGAATCAAGCCCGAGCCTTACTCTTGCAAGGCCGGCGTTGTGCTGCTGGCAACAGCCCTCTTTCCCCGAATCTGTTTCATGAAGGTGGTATCATGGATGTGCTGATGCAAAAGTGCCTTCCTTGGGGCCAGAGCGATAGTAGGGTGTTTGCCTTGCATGCAACTGACCTGGGTTTGATCCCTGGCATCCCA